GGGGGGGGGGGGGAGAGAAGAGTGCCCCTTTGGGACTGACCAGCATCCCATAGAGTCCCCCTGCCCACTCCACAACAATGGGGGGAAAGCAGGGGGAAGAGTCCCCCTCTGGGGCCAGGCAGCCTCACAGAGCTCCCCTCCCCACCCCATGGTGACAGCAGGGGGGGAAGAGCGAGAAGAGCCCCGCTAACATCGAACAGGGCCCACCTCCTGGCCCCGCAGTGATGCAGGAGAGGGAGGAGGAGGAGGAGGAGGAAGAGTCCCCCTATGGGGTCAGGTGGCCTCACAGAGCCCCCCTCCCTCCCACAGCAAGGTGGGGAGGAGAAGGGAGAAGAGCCCACCCACCCCCAGCACCGACCAGGGCCCCCCTCCTGGTGGCAGTGGTGGCTGCGTGCCACCCGGCCAGCCAGCAGGGGCAAGGGGGTTTCGCACACAGCGGCCTGCCATCACCTCACACCACTGCTGAAGTTTGTCTGCAGAGCCAGACCTGTGGACAGGTTGAGGCTCATGTGCAGCTGCCACCTCCATGTGGGCATGGCACCACAGGCAAGCAACAGCAGTGGTGGCTGCCATGTGCGAGACTCCCCCGAGAAAAATGAAAACATTGAAAGATCAGACTCTCTCCTAAGTTCTAAGTGAAACTTTATTACCTTGACCACACCCAAAAATTTCAGGGCTTCTTGTGGTTCTGAGAGTAGGCCTGGTATAACAGGAGGGCAAAAAATGGATAAATTCCGTTTTTGTACAGCAAATTCTTAAGCTGATCCAAGACTATCATAGTCCAAAAACAGTTCAATGGATAATAGATTCTACCTCTGGTACACTAATGCTCCTTTCTGGTATAATTAAAGAGTGAATTTTCCTTTTTATAATGAAAAGGAAAATTATTTCCCTTGCTCAGATTTCTGGTATTCACAAAGCCAGACCAAGACTTCCTTGTTCAAATAGTTTTTTTTAGCAGGGGGCTCTAGCTAGATATTATTTCTGAGAAAACATGTTTTAGGAGAGACCCACGTATACCAGTTACTGTGACTAAAACTGAGGAGTTCCTTTGTAGTGAACTATAAAACAGGATTCTGGACAGTCCTGTTGGTACAATCTTCTGCAAGACTGTAACTGGATACAAAGCCACAATTTTGTCAACTATGTCACTGTCTTCCCAGTACTAGAAAAGGAAGGACAAAATTTACAGGAGGACTGAGTTGGGTGGCAATACCCAAAATATTTGAAGTGGAATGAATCAGATTCAAAAGCTTTGTCCTAAACAAATAGGAGGCTTTAAGCAACAGAGGCAGATTTGTCTGATGCTGAGAATCAGAAACCTGAAATCTTAGATTCTGATGCCATAACTTTCCACAGAAGGCATTTTCAGCACTTTTTCTACCCAGGATGGGATTTGTATATCCAAACCCTGCACTAACACATGGAACTACAAAGGCAACTCATCTGATCTTCATATGGGGCTCTACTTTGAATACTTCTAGCACTGAGAAAGACTGCTGGGGGAGGAAGTCTCTAGCTTCCCTTCAACCTTGAGTAGAGTCCCCTGCTGTACAACACTGCTGCTAAACTGAAAAGAGGAAGTAAGTTTGAAAAGAAATGCCAGCCTGGGAAGACTGCTCATGAATAAACTAGCCTGAAACACAGTGTTTCAAGCATATCTAATCATGACAGCAAGGGAAGTGGGGACATTTTAAATGTTTCTATCAATAGTATCACCACCCCAGCTACACCAATGGTAGTCCTGTTAGAAATGTTAGCACAGACCAGGCTCGCAGCCAGAGCCAATATTTACCCAACTACTCAGAGAAACTGATTTGGGATTCAAGTGTCTCCAGCTACACTAGCCTTGTCTATAATAATTCTACAATACTCGCATCAGCTGGATGTTTTTAGACTTTTTTTTATTACTAACAATGCATAATACCATTCTAATATACCAATGGCACTAAGCGTTTGAATCCTAAATCCAGAGCGTTTCCCCAGCTGGAAGCATCTTGATTTTAAAAAGTTGTTTTTTTATTTTAAACATCTAAAGAATGCTAACAAGTCCTGATCATAGAAGCTTTTGCAAATAAACAGACTACTCATTTCACCAACATATACACAGGAAAAACAAAAAGGTGAAGGATTTCAACAATCTGGCCATAATTAAAATACAACAAATTGCAAGTTAATACAACAGATCCTTAACTTCTGTTTAAAACAAAAACAAAGAAAAAAAGTACCTTTAGCTGAGGTTTCTCATCTTTTGCAGAAGAATCCTCAGATTGCTGATGAACCACAACGAAGTCTTCATTACTTAATGTAGACGCAGACTCAGATGATCTATTAATTTTGTCAAATGCAGATTTAGCTTCCATTTCAGATCTATAAACTCTTCCTGCTGCATCAACCTAAAAATCTGCAAAAATACCAACAAATCAGCAAGCAGCCATTTTTAGCGGTTAGAAAACGCACCAAAAAAAACAAAAAACAAAAAACACTTTCCATTAGGGAGAAAATGTAATAACCACTTCCAAAGATGTGTGTGACAAGTGTAATGATCTGGAGAATCCACATACAACTTATCAATTCTGGTTGATTCTTTAATACCTCCATATGAATGGGTATTTAACTGTGCTGACCAGGTCCTTTGCAGCTACAGTGGAAAGTCATTAAAATACTTTATTCTAACCAGACGAAAGGTCTGCGAAGGTGGTTAGCTGAAGCCCAGGAGAACAACTTCACTCTTCTCTGGGGAGCTGGAGGTTAGAATGTAAGTTATCAAGTAAAGAAAGAACTGCTTTGGTAAGGTGATAACCATAGATCCTGGTTTTCTCCAATTAAAAGTCCAAAATGCTGATTAAAAAAAAATCCAAAATCCACTTTTCCCATGATTAAAATGCAATGCCACTATATATGTAGGTATCAGCTGAATACAATGTTTTATTGATTTATTTACAATTTTTAACTAATTCAGAAGCCTACCAGTGTCTCAATGAAATACATTTTAAATACCCACTTACACTGTGTAGATGGAAAGGAAAAGTCATACTTAGATGTTATGCAGAAAAATTCCACAAGATCTAGACCAGGGGTGGGCAAAATGGTGGATCTGGTTGGCAGCTGGACTCCATTTCCCAGCAGCTCCTGAACCATGGAGACCAGCCAGGAGCTGTGCGGGCAGAGCACACATCTGGGTGGGGACTTGCTCCAGGGCCAGGGCCAGGACCTTGTAGCAGTGACAGTGCCGAGGGCAGAGCCGTGATCCACTCCCCGTACCTTCCTACCCACAGAACCCATGTTTGTCACAGGGGCATGCAGGCAGCAGACAGGCTCTGCCCTGGCTCCAGCCCTATGCTGTCACTGCTGCAAGATCCCAGCCCCAAGCAGCTCCCTGCTCAGCTGTGCACCCTGCCCACACAGCTCCTGGCTGGTCTCCATGGGGACTGGCTGGGAACGGCACAGGCAAGGGCTGCTGGGAAATGAAGTTCACCCATTCTGGTCTGGGGGCAGACCTTGCTCAGCCCCTAATCTAGACACACCCTGACTGCAAGAACATTTTCCAAGTCATCCTCTTCAGGCTTTACTGGAAAGCCTCATGTCTTTTCAAGATGACCTTGAAAAGAGCCTTGATATATTGCCATATGGCAAAAATTCACAGCAGGATTCTGTAACTGTATCCATATCCTAGCATTATACAAAATTTCTCCCACATTCTTTCACATAGAGGATCAAAATTCAAAAGCAAACTTGGCAAGTTCATCTGACAAAACTGAACAGTTTATCAAGTACCTTTTAACAACCAGTACATGCAGCAAAGATAAAAGACAATACTTCTCCCCAGTGCTAGGAAAAAGAAAGATGGAATTCAGGTACGGAAGTATTGACAACACAAATATGCTATTCAATTACTGCTTATTTAATTGCAAAAAACCCTCCATGAAACTGTTGGAGAACAGAAATGATTCTTATGTAGTTATAGTTTCAATCTTAGTATGTAATTCGGTTTCCCCTCACTACTTTGGTTCTAAATTTAAGTTGTTCCCCGACTAAAAAGCTCAAAAAGTGATTTGACCCATCTCATTTCCTTAACCCACTCCTAGTCAGATGCTAATCTGACAGCAACAGCTTTACATAAGTATTGGACTGATTCACCAATCATCCAAATTCGTTTGACCCAGCCTCCAGAATGTATATGGATTAGAGTCCTAGAATTCACAGGATCACCAAAATTTACACCACCTTGAAAAATTAAAACTTATTTATTCCATGCTATAAATATTTGGATTTTGATACCAGCACTTATCAAACAGAATGTTAAAAATACAGTAAAACCTCTAAGTGATCTACAGAGTTTAAAGATACCTTTAGGAGTCAGTTGACTATTTTTGGAGGGTGGGGGTACATTCTATTCATGTATTGTACTTTGACAGACAGACAGACAGACAGACAGACAGACAGACAGACAGACAGACAGACAGACAGACATTTTCTTTCTAGCCTTTCCACTTAGCTCTAAACAATAGAAGATTGTGATTGTTCTCTCTTCTGTGGCTATAGTTTCAGTCTTAGTAGGTAGCTCAGTTTCCCTCACTACCTGGGAACAGACTTTAAGTTCTTCCCTGCCTAAAAAGGTCAAAGACCTATGCTTGGTTACTTACAACTGGTTATTAACATGCCACAATATAAGAACCTGAATAAAACAGCAAGTGGCGTTTAACTCTTGAAATACAAAGTGGAGATAACCATGCAGCAAGGAAAATTTCAATGGAGCAGAAACTAGTGTAAATCTTGTAAACAAAATGTCACATGTACAAGCTCAGCACATTATAATGTACAAGGGTTGTTGGTTGTAGCTGTGTTGGTCTACAACATGGCTACAACCAACAACCCTGCAACATGGAAGATAGGGAATTTTGCCATTTGAAATGGAAACTTCACAACATGAAGAAAAAAAGAACAACTGTTGAGTTGGTCTAATAAAAGATATAGCATCTACCCAAAGAGCCTTGCCTGCCATATAATGTACAATACATTCACTATACTATTAATGTGCTCTAGTGAAGACCTTGTTTAACAGTAACAATTATGGGGAAGCATCTGTCCAGTAAAGAGTCTTAGCTCCTGGAGTTCAGGAGGAAGGAGGTTTTCTGCTTCTGGGTAAAGAAAGATGACTGTAGCCAGCAATTAAACTCAAAGTCTAAGGAAGTCTAGTCATCCTGTAGCCTTATTTTTAGGGTCTTCCTTTCCTAGGAGGAACTCTAAATTGTAATTATAATGATATAAACTGATTATTGAAAAATTGGCAGACAACAGTAAAACAAAAGCAGTTATGCTCAGCAGAGTCATATTCAATTTAATCTGCTGCTACTATGAAAATTACTGATGGAAGCAGAAGCACTGGAACTCTGACTGCAGACTCCAACAAGTCATTTCTTATATTTTGGAAAACTCTGTTCAGTCATAAGGACTGATGATGATGTACTTGAGTTTAAAATCATTACAAGATAATGGCTTGGACATTCACTCTTCCTTCCACATGAGCGCTTACTTTTTCATGACTATTATAAATAAGTGATGCTTCTTCACATATGACAATGGCAAAACCTAACCAAAAAAAAGAAAGTCCTATTTAGTAAAAAAACTCCATTGTATTCAAAGAACACATACAGTCCCCTTTGAAAAACCAAAAAGTAACAATTTCTTGATGGAACTCTACCAAATAAGTCATTTTCTGTTTATTCATTCATTCATTCATTCATTCTACTTTTAAAATGTATATGCCAGCCTATTGAAAAGCAGCCCAAGGCAGCTTTGGAGTCCTTTAGAGTAGAAAACAGGGTAGATTTGCATTTTACAGATTAACCAAAGAAGAGAAGGACCACAAAAAACTTGTGTTATAATTTATAAGTTGCAAAAGGATTAAGTATTTTGAATCTCAAAAATTAAACTACACATTTCATCAATTTTTAAAATAAAAGGCTATGCAAAAAAGTCTGTCGAAAGAATGGCTTAAGAATTATGCTGACACTACAAGGGGCTAGAATGATCTTGTGAAGAGACACTGGAATGGATACAGGAGATATACATTCAATTGGTGGCTTTTTCTCCACACACATGCATACAAACATGCCTTTTTTGGAGTACAGACTCCCTTAGCTAATTTTGTGCAAATCTCTTTGTGCCAATTTCTTGTTGAATCTGGTTTCCAATTATCTAATCCTCTATGTTTTCTACTTGGAGTGCAAGGTTCTTTTAGGTGCAGAGACTGTTGTAGCCCGCATAGAAACGTACAAGACAACAAGGCCCTAATTTTGATTGGAGCCCTCAGACACTATAGTAATGGAAACTAAAAATTGTTCATGTTTACTGCTATTAGGCAGAAAGCTTCATTAAAATGAAATTAACTTTGTTGATGTTTACTAGAAATAGAAATTATT